CTGAGATGTTTTCTGCTTCCTGTTATTTGCAGACCTTGAGTATTTGTCAGCAGAAGTGCAGCACTCTCTGCAGTGAATTTAGAGCTCCTGACCATACAGTCCTTTTTTTTTTTTTTTTTAAAGTCACTTTTCACTGGCCCCACAGAAGGGTTCCATGGGACGTGATTTTGAAACGCCATTTAAAGCCTGCTGGACCCGGATCCTGGGTAAATTGCAGGAATAACGAGGAATGCATCTTTGAGGAGAACAAGCCCATTTACCCCTGATGAGAGCCAGCCTTCTGCTATCCATCCACCCATGTCTGCAGTGGATTACTGTGGCACGGGGATGGAAAACGTGGAAGCACAAAACCACAGGTTACTGCTCGGGTGCTGTGGCCGCCAAGGTGGCTCTGACACAGGCCCAGACCCAGCTCCAAGGGTGCAGTCTTAACCTTTTAATGTTTATTTAGGACTGACTTTCCTGCTGTCAACTGTAACTCCAAGTCTGGGAAGGAGTAATGAATGATCCCAATCTTTGCAAGCTGTGTTTTTCCTGAGGGCAACTGGGATACAAATTCCTGTCAAGAGGCAGTGAGTGGTGGGAGCCACAGTCCCCCTCTGCTCTAGGACAACCACCATCTCACCCTTCTCCCACAGCGGCTCCATCCCTCACCTCTGCCCTGTGGTGTACCCCCTTTTGGGATACACACTGCAGGACCTGTTTCAAAGGGTATTCAAAGAGAGGGTGGGGAAGGAAGAAGGACCAAATGGCTCCTGGGATGGCAGTGTGACAGGGGAAAAAAAGAGTCTGGGAGCTGCCAAAACAGAGGCAAGCATGGAGTTTTATGAACACAGTGCAACTTGTTCATTTTAATCCAGTAAACAGGGCAGCAAATTTGGCAGAAGAAATGCACTTAGAAACTTGTAAGTCAGCTCAGTGACCTGGCACTGTCAGATTAGTTTCCTTCTGTGATGCATTGCTGAACGTAATGTGTCATTACAAATCTTGGTTGCTACAGCTGTTAAAGCCATAAAGTGAAGCAGAGTTATTAATACACGGTAGTAGCAGCTGTCATGCTCCATTCTGTAATTAAGCATCAAACCTGCAGTTGGGAAACTCTTCTTTTGTCTGATGTGGGGTAACTGCATGTCTGCAGATGCCAACAGCGTGGAGACATGTAGGAACATCCCACCCACGCGGGGCCATGGTGAAATCCTCCTGCACAATATCAAGAGCGAGTCTCTGTCTCTGTTGCTGGCTGCCTTTACAAGTCTTTGAGGTTTCCTGCAGGGAGATGCAGCAATCCTTCCCCCCAACACATGGATAATGAAGCCCAGTATAGATGTGTGGATTGTAATAACGCAGGGAACAGCAGTCTTTCAAAAATCTGAGGTTAAATCGGCTGCTAGAAGCACAGTGACAGCTCGGAAGCTCCTGCTCCAAGGGATGAGATGCTGCTGTGTAGGGCTTCCCAGCTCCCACCAACAAAAGCCAAGAGACCCTCCTTCTCCAAGAGGCAAGAAATGCCACCAGGACCCATGCACAGTGGGATCTCCAAGCGCCTGCTGTATTTCACTGAATTTCACTGAATTTTAGAGTTGGAAGGGACCATAGAGATCATCTAGTCCAACTCCCCTGCTGAAGCAGGATTGCCTAGAGCTAGAGCATGTTACTCAGGACTGCATCCAGGCGAGTCTTGAAAATCTCCAAGGAAGGGGACTCCACAACCTCCCTGGGCAGCCTGTTCCAGGGCTCTGGCACCCTCACCGTGAAGAAGTTTCTCCTCATATTTGAGTGGAACCTCTTATGTTCCAACTTGTGCCCGTTGCCCCTCGTCCTCTCACTGGGAACCACTGAAAAGAGTCTGGCTCCCTCCTCCTTCAACCCTCCCTTGAGATACTTGTAGGCATTGATAAGGTCTCCCCTCAGCCTTCTCTTCTCCAGACTAAAGAGTCCCAGCTCTCTCAGTCTCTCCTCATAAGGGAGATGCTCCAATCCTTGAATCATTTAGATGTGAGGAGGACACAGAAACCCAGAGTCGCTGACCGGGAGTCTCACGAGTCTTCTTTTGAAGATGTCCCCACCCATTAGCCCTTCCATCGCTTTGCTGTCTGCCACCTCTGGCAACTCAGGCTGTGGCCTGCAGACTCTTCTTCTCACGAACCTCCTGATGTATATGCCCAAAACTGCTTAAAAGCCTGGAGGAACAGAGCCACTCAAATGCGTGACAAAGTGCAGAGGCCAAATTCTTCCAGTAGTGAAGAGGTGATTACGCCTCTGCTGGGGCCACCAGCACTTTTGCTTCAGCAGCAGGAGATTTGGTTTTGCTGATCCAGTTGTGCTGTGAGGTTCTGAAGTGGGCAGCTCGGGAAAGCCCAGCATTTTCTTTTCCTTAACGAAATAGCTGGGTAGGCACACGCTGAGATGGAATGCACTCGCTGGAGCGAGTGGGCAGCGGCTCGTCATCTGACTGGGTTTTTTTCCTTGCACCTGAGCTCGCCCCAACTGCTTAATTAGTCACAGGGTTTCCTGGAACTCCGGGGGAGAACGAACCGTCAAAAATTTCGGTGGTTCAGAAGACAACGGCTGAGGGGGAGAGGTGGAGGTGTGTGTGTGTGGGGAAGAATGAGGGTTTGCAAATCAGACTGCAAAAAATATTTACTCTAATTTGGGAGTTGTGAGCAAACTCAGGACACGCCGCCCCAGGCTGCAGGTGGCAAACACAGAAAAGGGGGGGTACAGAGAAACAGTGAGGCTGTTTAGGGAGTGTGGCCACAGTCATGCAAAGCTCTTAGGTGCTGAGATGCGGGCTCTGCCCTGCGGATTTTGTACTTGCCCCCACTACAGGTTTTCACTTTGAAATCTCACCTTTTTTCACATTCCCTCATCATCCAAGGCTCTAGGAACCGGTGCGGAGGAGTGTAGCACTCACACCACGACTGGACCAACCCCCTGGGAGTCTGCACCTGTGAGCCCTGCCTCCAGACTCTGCCGCTGGTTTTAGTTGCAGATGGTACTGTTTGCCCCAGCAAATTCACAGCTTTTAAGGCTAACAGAGATGATTAGCCACCTCTCAGCACCCATATAATCCCTGGATAATATAATCCCGCCCTAAAACTCATAGTCCCTTCAACAACTTGCCCTTGCCTGCAAACTTTCTTCAGATCGCTCAAAAGATAGGTAACTCAGTGTTTCCCCATGGTGGTTTGCTGCAATTGTTACCTGCTTTCGTAATTAAGGGTCCATACGTGGTTTGATCTGGTTTTAATTTCCACCTGTCTTCCTCTTCAGTATGCTTTTTTCTCGCTCCCACTGAGGTGGATGTGGTTGTGTAACAGACCTCAGCAGCAAGCTGATGCATTTCCCAGCAGACTTGCTGGGTGCTTGATTTCCTCAAGGCTCAGATGGAGAAATCCTGCTCGTGGTGACCGTCCTCCAAAGCAGCCAGGGATCGCACGGTAAGGGAAGGCTCCTCACAGACCAGCTGTTTGGTTTTAATGTCCAGTCTTCGATCCATAACCACGAATCTGGATGCCAGTGTGGCTTCTCTGGGCTTCCCACGTAAGTGCTCCTCTAGGTCTCCTTTCCACACGACGTTGCCACTGGAATGACAGGACTACTCTGAGGAGTCAGGACAGCAGAAATGGGGATCAGAAGCCCAGATGCTGGGTCTTCCTGTGGTGCTCACCTCTGAACGATCTGTAGTGGTGCTTACCCCCACTGCCCAGGAAGGTGGTGGAGTCGCCATCCCTGGAGGTATTTAACTGGTGCTTACCCCCACTGCCCAGGGAGGTGGTGGAGTCGCCATCCCTGGAGGTATTTAAGAACCATGTAGACATGGCACTTCAGGGCATGCTCTAGTGCCTGGGATTGTTGGTTTGTGTCTGTTTGTGGGTGGGTGTGCTGTGTTGTTGTTTTCTTTATTTTTATTGTGGTTGGACTCGATGATCTCAAAGATCTCTTTCAACCATGAATATTCCATGATTCTGTGATTTTGGAGGTTGCACCAAAGAAAACTCCAGACATGAGTCTTGAAAGAGCAGCTCGCTGACTCCACGCAGAAGAAACCAGTCAGTAGAAAACCACTCTGAGAGGGTCGGAGAGTCCGTTCTACCTCATCTCCGAAGTAAAAATAAAACCAACCAAATAAAATTGTCAGTGTAAGCCACACAAACAGTAGCAAACGAGGGGCGTGAAACCACAAGATTAATTTTAAAATAATGGGATTTTAATAACATATCAGGAGATTCTGTCACGATACCTCTGTGGTTTTTGAGCGTTTGTAAGGAGGCAGGACAGGGAGGCCCCTCAATTTTAAAAAGGACGAAGTGAGACAGACCCTTAGGGACGTGGGGAGAACTGCGCTGGTACTCACAGGTGTGTGGAGACTCTTATGAAAATTATGACTTAAATACTGGTAAGGCAAAAAAGAGAGCGGTGCCCTAACAGCAGTTCACAGAATCACAGAATCTTCTAGGTTGGAAGGGACCTCAAAGATCATCTTGTCCAACCATCAACCTAACTGACAAAAATAGACACCCACACAACAAACAAGGATCATCACTAAACCATACCTCCCAGCACTTCATCAACCCGTCTTTTGAACACCTCCAGGGATGGTGCCTCAACCACCTCCCTGGGCAGCCCATTCCAATGTCTGATAACCCTTTCAGTGAAAAATTTTTCCTAATATCCAGCCAGTTCCCGGGTGTCCCATGCCCGCCGGCCTGCGATGGTTCCCAGCAGGGACTTTCACAGCCGCCATCGCTGCAGCCCTGGCGGGGCCACCCAGGGGTGACACCCCGCCGTCCCCCGCTACCAGCGGCACCGGCCCCGCCGCTCTCGCCACGCGGCTCCCGGCTGGCCCCTGCCGGCGGGGCCGGGGAGGAGGCCCGGGCCCGGCTTGTCATCGCCCGGCGACACGGCGGGCCCCGCCGTCCCCATGGCAACAGCGTTCCCGTGGTGCTCTGCCCGGCGCCATCTTGGGAGTGGCAGCGACCGCCCCGCCATGTTGGGGGCGGTGCTCTGCCCGCCGCCATGTCGGTGGCTGCGGCTTGCCATGCCGGCGGTATGGTGCCGGTGCTGCCCGGGCTCTACGTGGGGGGAGCGGAGTCGTGCTCGTCCCTGGAGTCTCTGGCGGCGGCGGGGGTGGTGGCGGTGCTGACGGTAGACGCGGAGGAGCCGGCGGATGTACCGGGGGTGCGGGCCGTGCACGTCCGGGTGAGGGACGAGCCCGGCGCCGACCTCCTGAGCCACCTGGACGAGTGCGCCGCCTTCATCGGCGCGGCGCGGGCGGGCGGCGGAGCTGCTCTAGTCCGCTGGTGAGGACCGTGGGCGGAATGGGGGCCGTCCGTCCGTCCGTCCCCCTTCCCCGGGGAGGCGCTCCTGACGGCCGGACCGTTTTATCCTGTCCTTGCAGCCATGCCGGGGTGAGCCGCAGCGTGGCCGTGGTGACCGCCTACCTCATGAAGACGGAGGGACTCGGCTGGGAGGAGGCCTACGCCGCCGTCAGGGCCGCCAAACCCGACGCCGAGTGGGTCCCCGGCGCCCCTATCCCCCCGCCCCTACCCCTTCTCCCCGCCCGCCCGCCGCCCCCTCACCCCCGCTCTCCTCTCACCCTCCTCCACAGGGTGAACCCGGGTTTCCAGGGGCAGCTGAAACTCTACGAGGCCATGGGCTGCGCCGTGGACAGCAGCAGCCCCCTCTACAAGCGGTACCGGCTGGAGATGCTGAGGGAGAGGTACCCCGGTGAGTGGCGGCCGGGCACTGGGAGCATCATCGGCCTTGGGCCGGAGTGAAGCTTGGGGCAGCCTCCCTGGTGGGACCCATCTGTCCTGAAGGGACTCTCAGGGAAGTTGTGGATGCCCCATCCTTGGCTACCTCATGAAGACGGAGGGACTCGGCTGGGAGGAGGCCTACGCCGCCGTCAGGGCCGCCAAACCCGACGCCGAGTGGGTCCCCGGCGCCCCTATCCCCCCGCCCCTACCCCTTCTCCCCGCCCGCCCGCCGCCCCCTCACCCCCGCTCTCCTCTCACCCTCCTCCACAGGGTGAACCCGGGTTTCCAGGGGCAGCTGAAACTCTACGAGGCCATGGGCTGCGCCGTGGACAGCAGCAGCCCCCTCTACAAGCGGTACCGGCTGGAGATGCTGAGGGAGAGGTACCCCGGTGAGTGGCGGCCGGGCACTGGGAGCATCATCGGCCTTGGGCCGGAGTGAAGCTTGGGGCAGCCTCCCTGGTGGGACCCATCTGTCCTGAAGGGACTCTCAGGGAAGTTGTGGATGCCCCATCCTTGGAGGTGTTCAAGGCCAGGCTGGATGGGGCTCTGAGCAACCTGGTCTGGTGGGAGGTGTCCCTGCCCATGGCAGGGGGGTTGGAACTAGATGATCTTTAAGGTCCCTTCCAACTCTAACCATTCTGTGATTCTATAAAATGAACACAGAAGGCCATGTCAGAGGTGGTTGACCTTTAAGCATTGCCCTCAAAGCAGCCCGAGCCATGAGTTAGTGAGGCAAAACATTCACACCATGCTGACCCTAAAGAATTACAGCTTTGCCAGAGTTTCCCCCCAGAAATTAATTCCCTCAGTGGGGAAAAGAGTGTCTTTGAGACATGCCTGAGAAATAGGATCCATAAGGACCTGTTCTTTTTAGCAAAATGCAGAAATGGTAAGGACCAATTTAATACGTTCCCTGATTTTTACGTACCTGGCTAGGCAAACTGAACATCCTCTAAATAGACATCAATGAAAATAAATAACTGCACAGCTGAGATAAAGTTGAAATCAAGGTATGAAGCAAGCTTTCATGTTTCCATTTGCAATAGGTTTACTGTATTAGGTATGTGGACATATGTGTAATTTTATAATAAAATAAATAACAATGCAGTGCTTTTTTGCAAGGTCTGTGTTGCATATTCAGCATGACAGTGCTTTCTCTGTTTAATTTAGCAGTCATTCTCTTTAGCAGTTCCCATTCGTAAGCTGACTTTCTGTATTGTGTGCACTAAAAGATTGGCAGAACTGTTCTAACTCCTCCTCTGCCTTCACTTTCTGTGTAAGAACATAGGGCAGAATGCGAGTATTTTACCATTGCTAAGGCCAAAATCTAGATCCTAGTTCTTTGCATTAAGTGAATCCCAGTTGTAGGTGTGGTGGGATGAAGCTCTTTCATTTTTAGCTTATCTAATGGAATTGGCAAGTGGACAAATGAATGTGAAGATGGTGGCTTCTGCATGCCATGACTGGGGCAGAGGCACAGCGCTGTCTTGTCCCCCAGAAATGCAGCTTGGCTGCGTTGATCTGGTTCACAGTTTTGTACTGATCCCTCTGCAGAACTTCAAGACTTGCCCCGAGAAGTCTTTGCGGTTGATCCAACCAGTGTATGTCAAAATCCAAACGCAGAGGTTCTCTACAGGTGCAGGAAATGCAGGTACTGAATCTTCTCTATTTCTCCATAAAATGTAATTTTGAAATCGACTCGAGAGAAAAGTAGCCTGTGTAAATCAGTGGGCATGTCATTTTCAGGACAGGGGTGATGCCTAAGTTTCCATACAGTGTACGCTGCAAAAAGACAAATAAAAGTACCTTATGAAACACAAAACTTTTTGTTTCTTGAAGTTGTGCAGCACTTGTGCAGCCTAACCTGCCACATTCTATAGGCAGCCATAATTCTGCTTGGCTCTGTGAAGCTGCTTGCTCTGAAACCATAACTTCCTAGTATATTTTTGACAATCAGTTTCTCCAGAAGAAACGTTGTGTAGATTTGGGGGATTTACTACATTTTAACTACCTTTTATGGATTACTTAAAGTGAAACTGAATAATCCTGCTGTTTCCTAGGTGTAGGTTTCTTCCAGTGTACGAGTATAAATTTGAAGTTTTAGTAGGTAGGAACTGCTTAAAACCAGACCTATATACGAGACGACATACACCTGTGGGGCGGCTGTTTTCTATTTGTAGATTTCCCCAGTTCAAAAACCCAACTATTTTAACTTCTTTCCCCCCGCATCCCTCCCCTCTGTGTTGGAGGGCAGGCGCGCTCTGTTCCGTGCTTCCAGCATTTTGTCCCACACGGAAGGAAGCGGAGCAACAGCCTTTGCCCACAAGAGGATGACGGACACCGCGCAGCTTCGTGGTGATGGCCGTGAAAAGTGCACCTCTTACTTCACTGAGCCCGTGCAGTGGATGGAGCCAGCATTGCTCGGAGTGATGGAAGGACAGGTGAAGGGGAGCATGTGCTCAATTTTTTTTTTTTTTTGACGTTTTGATGTGTTTTTTTGTTTTGTTTTTGTTCTCAAAGGCAGAACAAAGTGTTTCTGTTCCCTCAGGCAAAGCACCCACACAAGGACCTAAGTCTCCCAGCCTTTCTAGCATGAATTTTGCAGCTTATGAACAGATTCTTAAATGTTAAATATCCCTTTACAAGAAAATGAGCTGATCTTGTTGGAGTGAGAACACTAACCAGGGTGTCGGACAGGGTTTACCTGTGTGTGTTTTTAGTACGAGAAAGAGTTTGTGGGACTTACAAAACCTGTTGTGGTCTCAGGCTGATGGAGGCTTTCTGGAGACAGGCAGAACTGTCCTGGAGGCACACCAGGTTCTGAGCAGCTGCATTTCCACCCCCTCCCTTCTGCCAGCACAGCTGCCTGCTACACCCCAGCCTAAACAGCCATGACATTTTTGCTTTTTTGCCTGTTTTTCAGCCTGTTTACCTTCAGTGAAGTGTTACGAGCTGGCGCAGCACAGGTTGCTACCATAGAAGTATATTTTAAATAGACCTACATCTGCGTGCTCCTTAGAGTGGGTCATGAGGGTAGGCTTAGATTAGGTATTAGGAAGAAGTTCTTTAGTGTGAGGGTGGTGAGGCACTGGAACAGGTTGCCCAGAGAAGCTGTGGATTCCCCATCCCTGGAAGTGTTCAAGGCCAGGCTGGATGGGGCTTTGAGCAACCTGCTCTAGTGAGAGGTGTCCCTGCCCATGGCAGGGGGGTTGGAACTAGATGATCTTTAAGGCCCCTTCCAACTCAAACCATTCTGTGTGTTTTTTTCTTGCAGCTTCTGTGTCCCAAATGCACATCGAAGCTGGGCTCCTTCAGCTGGTGGGGTGAGCAGTGTTCCTGTGGCCGCTGGGTGACACCTGCCTTCCAGATCCACAAAAGTCGAGTGGATGAAGTGAGGACACTGCCAGTTGGTAACTTTCAAGCTGCCAAAACTTGAACTTGTCCCTTCCCTCCATGGACTTCTTAACTTCCACAGAGAACTGCTGGCTAGTCTGTGGTTGCCAGAACCGAGTTTGTGATTTCCACCCCTTTGTAATGAGGTGGAACTGCTTGAACATCTGCTCTATTTGAGCTTTCTGTATCTCTAATTTATATAAAATAGCAAACAATTCCTTCAAAGAGGTGTTACACAGTGGTCAAGTATGTCCAAAAATGCTTGAATGTGAGGTTTTTGGTATATTCTCACTTCAGCTGTTGCTATTCACAGAAGGTCTCAACTCCTTATTTAAAAGGATTGCTAACATGTTACTTTCGGGCTGTGGCCAGTGGTGCTGCTTGTCTTCTGAATAACTAGTTTCAGTTTGTCTGAAACAGCTGAGATTTTAGGAGCTATATTCCACAATATGAGGTATGTGGCAGGGAAATGTTTTAAGACTTAGCAAAGTGCCATAAAATGGTACAATTACACTTGTTGCATTAACATGCATGGCAGCTACCAGCAGTGAAAGGCAAGTGCAGACTTACATTTGTGTTACAATAAAAATAGTCCTAAAAATCTCTACCCCAAGAATATTTACTACGCTACAACTCTTCCTTTATATAATATCTAAGGAGATGATGCAAGCTGAACTGGAATGAGAGAACTGATGTAAAATGTAAAATGCTGCTTACAAGTTTAAAGAGATCCCTAAAATAAAATAAGATTTTAAGGAAAGCCAGCATGCTGCATACACCACTGTGGGACAAGTTTGGTTTGACAGAAGAAACCAGGACAGAAAGATTTACTTTAAATCCATTTTATTCTCATTGACTTCAACATATTTTTTTTTTATTATTTTTTTTAAACACTATTTCCAGCAACATACATTATGAAATATACAAGATAAAGTAGGTGGTGGGGTTCTGCCCATCTTTTCATTCCTCCCACAGCTGTGGAGGGAAGACTTGCAGGACACAGTGAACATCAGAATCTCAACACTGGAAACAGACACAAAACAAACAAACAAAAAAAAAAAGACAAAAAAATATATGAAACTGTTTGAACTGGTCACACTTCAGGGCCAGGTACAGCACAATAAATATTAGAACTGCATTATCTTAGACATCTTCTGTAAAGTTTATAACATCCTCTATTTAAAGAAATAAGAGAACATCTGGTTTCTAGCATGAAATGCTACATAGTACAGTGGTGAAGGGTACGAACGATGGGGAATCCAGCAAGGGCTTGGATGGTGACTATTCATTCACACATGCTCATCGGTAAAATAAGCAGCAGACACTGAAAAGTTTAGTGAGCTGTAAACTTAACCATTCACTACCAGAATGTCAGCTGGAGGAGAAGCTCCTTTTGGGAGAACCAAAAAGTTAATCCCTTTAAAGTTTTCAGCCGGGCTGTCCCTGCCAAACAGCAAAGTTGATACCACAATGGAAGTGGCAGCGTTTGGTCCGTAGCACGAGATCCCTTTGCATCTCAACTGTTCCAAGCTGGCAGCCAGTGGAAATACTTTGGTGCAGACTGAACACTTACACAGCCACGCCACTGCCACGGTGCCACCGACACCACCGCAGGTGGCAGCTGGAACCCAGCTGGGCACAGAGAGCAAGGGGGAGAGACTGGAGAGGGTGCACAAAGCAGAAGACCAGAGTCACCGGTTACTCTTGTGCTCTGACCACCAAGGCAGGATTAAATACATTTTCTACTCATCAACCTTCCCCCTGTTCATCCCCTGCCCCCAGAAGCGTCACATCGTACATTCCACTTCCAGGAGAACTGGGGACCTTCTGTGCTACTGCCAAAACGGGCCACATGAGCACAGGTGGAGGAAGAAGGTTAAGCACACACTTTTCTTTCCTTCCCTTAGCATGATCTGGGCATTGCACCGGGAGGCAATGGCACTGGCAGACAGAGCACCACCGAGGAAGGACTGTTGTGTTCCTGGTCTGCACCCGTGGCACCAGTGTAACTTGGTGGGCATGTCCTGCAGTACACAGCAGCACTCACAAGCTTCACAAACTAAAGCAGCTGAGTGTCATGGAATCGTAAGGGGTGAGTAGGAGGTAAAGAAGGTAACGTTCTGCTGGAAGCTGAGCACCTATGGCTTTGATTTTAGCTGATGCCGAATCCAACAGTTCTAACTGTATTAAGTAGGAAAATAAAATTCTGTTTCTCCAGTGTACAAAAGTATACTGGCTGCTCGTACGTGCTCATCTTCTAGTTAGTCCCCTCTTGGGGAGATCCAGAACTACCACATTTCGATACCAACAGACTCGGCTGAGGGTCTGCAGAAGGGACAGAGTAGTGAAGAATTTTTGGTTGTATCAACACGTCAACAGACTATGGTCAACAGTTGTGTTTGAGAACAGGGAGCTCTATGTCATGATAGTCACTTAGCAAAGTGCCAGATGTACATGCCCTTACCACTGCCAGCTCAGAATGTACCATGTGACTGCATTAAGATCTACACCTCCTCTGCCGGTACAGCTCAACTGGTTCCATCCCAAGGTGGAAAGACCAGTTACCAAGAGAGCTGGGAGAGGCAAGGAGAAGTTTTTCCCACCCTAGAAGTGTACAACAGCATTTCCTCACTCAGCCAGGCCCACTCACACACATCACTCACCGTTTCAGACACACAAAGCAATGCCAAACACAAACTAAGAGGAATGTTTTGTAAGGACACTCTCTTGAGTATGAACAGGGAAAAACACAGGGCTATTTATCAACTCAAGTACTGTTGCATCATTCTTGTAAGGTAGGGAAGCAGAGGAGTTGAGATGAGGAATTGAGAGGACAAACTGGAGTGGTCACAGGTGTCGAGTCTAGTCTTCCAGACTGCGAAACGCATTCTGCATATCCTCAAACAGCTGAGCATAGTCCGCCTTGATTTTTGCTTCACCATCTTTGACAGGGTCCTGAAAGATAACACAGCAAATGAACAGATCTGTCGGGAAAAGCCCCAGGTACTTCAGACAACCCTGCTTTGCCGGTGCTGGATTTTTAATTTTTCCACTTTGGGAGTAACACTTGCTAACTACAGATCAGGTATTATAGCTCTGTCTCTGCCTCCTGTCTGTCTTGCCAACAGTCACAGATACTGGACAGAAAAATTGGTATTTTTGTAAGCAGTGCTTACTCTACTGGAGGGGATTTAGTAATACTGAGGGTCTTAGTTGACGCTGTGTGATTCAAGATCTGCAGTGATTAATATCAGTTCCTATCTCTAAATCAAATGGAGTAAGGATCTTTGCAACTCAGAAATGCCCTGATGTACTTTTCGGGGTGCATCCCCTGTAAGTCCAAGAGTTTTTGGACTTTGCCATCACTTGGAGGTCGCTCCATTCCAATTGAAATCTTATTGTGAAATCACAATCAAGAACACTTTTGTAGAGCTTCATCATCTCAGAATACTTTTCATGAGAGGGCAAAAAATTTAAGTCAGCTTTGCTCTGAGGCTGCAAGGCCTTCCCTGCAAGAAGGAGCTTTAACTGCCAGGCTGTGAAATCTGTTCAATATCTTCATTGTTCCCTTAGCACTACGTTCCTCTGGGTCAGCACAGCTCTTGGGAAACAGAGGGGACTTAGATATGTGGATGCACTACTTCTTCATTGTCTCTCCAAAGTACACGGACCACAAGATGCAGGACATTCAACTCTTACACATTTTAGACTGTTACCCAGGAAATACGATTTTCCTTTCATAACTATCACTGTATTAGAGAGCCAGCTCCACTTAACATGTATTCACCCTCTGGATCTCCTTTTCAGCTATGCTGTCCACCACTCTGCTGTATGCCAGATGTCTTCTGGTGGCCAGGGTTTGTAAGAAGTGTATTACCTTCCCTAGCTAGATAACCAGCTTTCAAAGAAGCTCTTGTCTGCCCAAGTGTATCTTGTTATGTTTTTGATGATTTGAGAATATATATCAGAGATCTGCTTACTGCAGAAACAAGCCAGTACCCTGCAGGAACACAGTACATTGGCACACCCACACCAGAACACTTATTTTAAACATAATTTTTTCTTACAGTATTTGTTCTTGATAGATTTACAATATTGGCTTGAGTTATAACAGAGTAAGAATTACACTTCACAGAGAACATTCTTTAGCTACCTTAACATCAGGCAGCACCACAGGTTACTGTCCTACCAGTAACTGCTCTATCAGCATAGAATCATAGAATTGCCCAGGCTGGAAGGGACCTCCAAAGGTCATCTAGGCCGACCTCCCCGCAGTCAGCAGAGACACCCCCAACTAGACCAGGTTGCCCAGGGCCTCGTCGAGCCTCTCCTTGAATATCTCCAGGGACGGGGCCTCAACCACCTCCCTGGGCAGCTTGTTCCAGTGCTCCACCACCCTCACAGTGAAGAACCCTCTCCTAATCTCCAGTCTAAATCTGCTCCCCTCCAGCTTGAAGCCATTGCCCCTCGTCCTGTCACTGCAGGCCTTTCTAAACAGGTTCTCCCCAGCCTTCCTGTAGGCTCCCTTCAGGTACTGGAAGGCTGCTATTAGGTCTCCCCGGAGCCTCCTCTTCTCCAGGCTGAACAACCCCAGCTCCCTCAGCCTGTCCTCGTAGCAGAGGTGCTCCAACCCCCTGACCATCCTTGTGGCCCTCCCCTGGACCCTCTCCATCAGGAGCACGGTCATCAGCATGCTCTGGGGGAGTTCTAAGAAAGCTGTACCCTAAAAAGAAGGCTGCTGAAGTTACCCAGGAGCAGGTGCTCCAGGCCACTTGTCTTGTCTTTAGCCCTTGCTAAAGTAACTCCTCCCTTCCTCTCCTCCTAGTTACCTGCCTTAGGCCCTGAAGCCAAACACAGGGGACATCACGTATGACTGCAGGAGACGAACATTTCTTTCCTTAACTTCTATTTAATACAGCCTGATCAACATTTCTATCATTCGCTTTTTAGCACATTCCTGGATTTAAACTTCAGGCTGCTTTTATCTGCTAAGTCTCTTTAGAACATGCTATAATTTTTTACAGAATGTTATCACAAAACCCCCAAAACAAAGAGGAAAGGTGCTTGTACAACTGCCACCAATGTACGTAACAAAAGAGCCTGCTGAGAGTGGAGTTGCCAGGGCTCTGCAGCCAGCACCACCCAACTAGATTTCTGCACTGACCATTCCTGTGCTCACAAACTAAACCCAGTTCTTAAGTGTATCCAAAATGATTGCCAAAAGTCTCTGTTCATACACCTTTACCTAAGGGAACTGACGACCACCTTTGAGTAACACCTCTCAGAGTCACTGGAAGTTCACAGAAAGCAGTGCAACCCCGTTCCTTCCCAACATACCTTGAATTTCATGGAGGTAAGTCTGTAGAGGATTTCGCTCATGTTCTCTCGGATGATGGACCACGTGATCTTATTGTCACTCTGGGCTGTGGTTTCTACAGCACGGCGTGCCATGTCATAAAACGCAATCATATTGGAAAGCATTCCCACAGTTTTGTAGAAAGGGCAGAACCTGATGGAACAGAAAAGGATCTGTCAGGCATTTTGGAACAGTTCACAGGACAAGCCTTTGCTCCTGCCTTCACAACAACTCTGAATTCTCACACGAAAGAAAGAGCGCTAGCCTGCTTTACTCCAGGGGCTTTTGGTACCTGCTGTCAAAGGAGAGAGACCACCTCTAGTAAGTCCCACATTTTTAAATAGGTAAATCACAGGCTGAGAGAATCATCCTGAAGTAAGGTTTCTGAAACAGCACCCAAACACCGGGTAAAACAGGGGAGAACAGGAACCACCGCTGTACAGTTCTCATATTTCCATCTGTGCCAATACTAATGAGAAAGGGAAAACACCAGAGCAGCCAACGGAATTCCTCCTTCCTGTTTTGTCCATCATGGGAGCAGGCTTCTCCAAGTAACCTGGGATGACCTGACAGCTCTGCAAGTTTCTTTGCTCACAGGAAAGGGAGTGTTTCTATGACAAGAACACTCCACACACAAAAAGCTCCATTTTTAATGGGTAGATGACTGTCATGGAAGGTACCTCATTATTATTTATACACTACATCATGCTACTTCTGTGCTTCCCTTCTGCATACAAGCAAACCTGCCCTAGTACCTAATCAAAGGCACACACTATTACAGAATGATGTACGTCTACATTTTCAGTGATGAAGTATTCCAAGACCTCCTGATCTGGGGATCAGGCTCCCCATCTCACTCCCAGGCTGGGGAGTGAGATGACCTACAAAAATCCCCTTTGTCAGGCTACTGAAACACAAGGATAGCATGGAAAGAAGCAAAGCAGACAGGGATAACAAGCACTATCTAGGGAAAAGATCCAGTAAATTTTTTGATGGATCAAACTGACTCAAGAATGACGCAACAGTAGCTGAAAGCAGATTCTTGCAGCCCCCCATGCCTTGCTAGAATAAACAGGAAGACTTTGGGTGTTGACTGTGGAAAAAAAAGTGGTCCTCTCCTCCTAAGGAGGACAGGAGGACATGCTTTTGCAGAAATATTGGCTAACTGAATAATAGATGAGGGCCTGAGAAACTCAAAGGGTGCAATTGCATTTGGAAAAGGTCTGCATGCCTTGAGTAAGGCAACGTGAATACACTGTTTGATGGCCTCCCTAAGCAGAGTTCTTCCATTTGTTTATGGTGAGTAAAACTAATTTCTGCACTGTTTGGCTTCTGAGTAGAATAGCTGTCTAAATCCAGATTACAGAGGACTAAGAGGGCAGAGTGGCCAGTCAGAGCTCACCTGTCATAAGGCGTATAACCATTCTGTTGCAAGAAGTCGTCCTTTATCAGCTTGGCAACCTCCAAGGTAATTTTATCTGTTTCTGCCAAGGAAGCCTAGAAAAGTAAGGTACGCGTTAGTTTAGTACTCAAGTCCATGAGGACACGGTATGTCCTGGTCAAGAACTGTTATCTTTCAGTACCTGTTTTCTTCCCACCCTCTTAAGACTCTAGCAGAATTTAGCAGAGTTAAGAATTCCAGCAGAATTCTGTCTTTTGGATATTTATCACTCCCTGCTGTAGAACAGCCAATTTAATTGACAGCCAAATTAAGATGGGCCAAACAGTCAGTAAGTCTACTTTAAGTCTATCTGACAATAAACAATTGCAAGGAAGCTTACTTTAAGATACTGGAAAAGCCACCAGACACAGAAAACACATATAGCTCTGCTAATGAGGAACACTGAAATATCATCTTCCTGCATAAGGAGGTAAATTCATTTTTACCTCCTTTGATCCTTATATCCATGGAAGAAAAACTAGATCTTGGCATGGTAGATCAATAAGTAATTTTAAGAATTTGATACTAGTTTCCCCAGCTACCAATGGGTTTTTCTTCTTTGGCATTCAAGAAAAGTAAAGGAGTTGATGACAACGTCTGTCACACTCTGCAGGACAGGCACAACCCTGCTGCACACTGCTGCTGTCAGCATCACAAGCCACCTTCCTCTGCCTTCATTGTCCTTTTGCTAAAGGGGACAGACTGAGTTTTAGGTACCCTAGTTTGCTTTCTACACAGGAAGTTTGGACCTTCTTTCGTGAGGAGACCAACAGAATTCAGAACTAAAAAAAAAATAAATAAAATCTCTGATTGTGTTTCCACAATTTCCCCTTTCTAAAGGTTTGTTGCAGTTGTTAGCCAAGCCCAGACTGAAAGAAACTGTTAAAGTAACATCTTTGAGAACAAGATCACCAGGTTCCAGTACTACTATTGTGGGAATAATGCCTTGTTACAAGCACTGGCTTATCAAAATCCATTCCACACCAAGGAATTGATTCTACCCTGGCTCTGTAAACTAGTCTTTTAGAACATGTTTTTGTACATAGAAAACTGCAGAGGACCCCAGGATCACCTTTCTTTTTATTTAAAGACACATCTAGAGAGGAGAGCTCTGCTAGGCAAGATCTAGTGAAAGGCCTCATCTCAGTTGGGCTAGAACATCAGTGAATAGGGAGAGCACCAGGACCAAACTTTCTCAAAATAACATGTTACCAGACACTACCACCACCTCGTAAATCAGCATACCTCATCTGGCCATGATGGGATTAAGTTACTATAAAGTAAGTGCTAGGCACCTGTCAATTATCATCTTTACAGTGCTAAGCTGAAACACAAGAGTTTTCACTTTTGAGAGCTCTCAAGGGAAATCTTCCTGTCCAAGTTCAGCTTTGTCTCCATAACAGTGAAGCGAATGAAGGAAATTAAAGAACGCTTGTAAAATGGAGCCATATGTCATGTCACAGGCTTCCATAGAGAAACCAGGTAATCACCAGTTTTAGAAAAAGCAGATATCACTTCTGTTTCTACAGGCCAGGCTGTAAATGCCAACACCTCTGTTCTGTAGCTGGCAACATGGTTTCTAATAAATTGTAACCCTTCAGATGCCTTCAACTGTAAAGGTAAGTTTGCATCGTTTCTCTTCGAAAGATACTTCCAATAGAATACTATTGTAGATTGCAACAAAGGGCGTTTCATCAGGACTAGAATGTGGAAGAAAGTGAAGTTTCTTAACTTCAGCATTAGATGCCCTGCAATCCAATTTACATGAGAAAAGCAGTGTCAAGCCAAGGTTTACCAAATCTAAAAAAGTATTTGTCATTAGAAAAGTCAAACGTGTAAGAAATTTGGAGTAAAGCACAATTAGAGGCAGGAAAGTCTGACATCTCCCAGTAACCATTTGCCTTTTTTGCATAATGCAGTATCCATCAAGTCTGGGCTAAGACATGGCCAAAAGCCTGTGCTAGCAGTAAGGAAATGGAGGATGGCTCATTGACACCACACTCCCTCACAGCTGGTTACTCACCTTCCCCACAAGCTGCACGATCTCTGCAAGGTCCTCTTCCTCCTGTAGGATCTCTTTGGCTTTTGTCCTGAGAGGGACAAACTCTGTAAAATGCTTGTCGTAGTACTCGTCCAGGGCACGTGTGTATTTGCTGTAACTGATCAGCCAGTTGACAGAGGGGAAGTGCTTGCGTTGTGCCAGCTTCTTATCCAGACCCCAGAAAACCTGTCAGAAGCCAGAAAGAAAAAACAGTGTTCCAAATAAAAAAATCAACCAAAATAATTGAAGGCAATTAAAAAAAAACAAGAAAGCCAATACAGAATGCAAGTTTGAGCAAATGCAAAATGGCAAAGGCTATCACAAATGAAAGCTTCAGAGAGAAAAAGGAAGACTTATGTTAATTTAACTGTAGCAGTGACTTTCAAATACATTTCTCAAAAAACGATGCATCTCTTAAGCTGAGTTTAGCCTTATTCAGCTTGAGACTCCTCATGAGGGAGAAGTTAGCCATAACAAAGACAATACTGGAGTCTAATTAAGCGGAACCCCACTAGATGGAACTCCTTTTACCAAAACAGGGCTGCAACCAGTTGCAAGACATTCGCCCAGTCAGCTGGTCTGAGGATTTTTTCATGGTTTCAGTGGATGTATTAAGAGTGGTTCACTTTCTATCTGAGCTGAGAACAGCCACATTTGAAATGAAGCTCAATGGGCAGCAATGAGGAAGTACATGGATATTCCTGAACAATCAGCATTGGAAAGAATTACTACCTTCACTCCCTCTTCCAAAGGCATCTCAAATACATTGCTTCAGAGACCATCTCGTAAGGTCACCTTTTACACTGTTGGAACATTTTCCAAAGCACCCTACAAAGCTGCCTGTGTCAAATCAAAGCTCTCACACACCAGCCGCTGGCACAAACGCAGTGAAGCACAATCATTTTGAGTTCAACAAAGTAGATAGAAGGGCTGCAACGGTGTGGGACATACCTGAACAATGCCCAGAGTAGCAGATGTGACAGGATCAGAGAAGTCACCACCTGGGGGAGAGACACTGAGCAGGAAGAGATAAGGAAAAGTTATCAGAATTGCATTCACAATTAAAACTGAGGTACCGAACATATGACTGCACAACTCCATGATCACAGAAACCAGAAAAGTCAACAAACAAAACACAATTTCATGTAAGTAACAGATTGCAAACTTCCACTGCAGAAAGTGTTTGACGCATACCCACACAGGTGTAATATCAAGCATTCCATGAAATATAGTTATATATTTCTATATAATATAGTGACTG